GGACTATGTTGAGCAGGAGTGATGAATGCAGACATCCTTACCTTGTCCCTGACTAAAGGGAAAGCTTTCAGTTTTTCCCCATTTAGTACAATGTTGGCCATTATTTGTCATTAATGGCTTTTATCAGTTTGAGATAAGGTCCTTCTATAGCTATTTCCTCAATTTTTCTTTTTTATTATGAGTGGATGTGGATTTTGTCAAAGGCTTTTTCTGGGTCTATTGAGATAATCATGTGGCTTTTGTCCTTACTTCTGTTTATGTAATGAATTTCATTTATTGATTTCATATGCAATTTATTGATTTGCATAAGCATCCTTCTATCCATGGGATAAAGCTTAACTGGTCATGGTGTATGATCTTTTTGATGATTTGTTCTATTCTGTTTGCCAGTATCTTATTAAGGATTTTTGCGTCTATATTCATTACAGAGATTGGCTTATAGTTTTCTTTTTTGGTTGGACCCTTGTCTGATTTTGAGATCAAGGTAATGCTATCTTCCAGGCACGATTTTGGGAGTATTACTTCCCTCTTAATTTCATTTAAGAGTGAAGAGTATTGGTGTTAGATATTCCCCAAAATTCTTATAGAATTCAATAGTCAATTCATCAGGTCCTGACTTTTATTAGTTGGTAGGTTTTTTTATTACTGCTTTAGTTTTATTGCCTGTTATTAAATTATTGAAAATTTTAAAATTTTCTTGGTTCAGTTTTGGTAATTCATATTTATCTATGAATCTCTTCATTTCTTCTGAATTCTCCAATTTTTTGGCATATAGGTTTGTGAAGTAATTGCTAATAATTTTCTGGATTTTGACAGTATTATGGCAGCAAATAAATACATGAAAAAATGCTCAACGTCTGTTAAGGTTTGTATCAAGATGTCCCTCCAAAGACTCATGTGGTTATAGGTGTGGCTTTTCAGAGGTGGCTGGATCTTGAGTGGGTGAGGCTAGGATTAAGGATGTGATTCTGGCGTTGATTCACAATGCTAGGATTAAGGGTGCTCCATGCTGAGTCTGAGTGCTATCCTCCCGAAGAGTGGTAGCCTGGACTGTACATATAGGGAAGAAAAAGGGCTGTCATGGTTTGTTGCTTTGCTACTTTACTGCTTGCTCCCTCTCTGCCTTCTGCCTCCCATAAACTATTTTTCTTTTGCTGTGCCACCCTGCCTTAAAGCCAGCCAACTATGAACTAAAACCTCTACAAGCTGTGAGCTACAATAAACCTTTGCTTCTTTAACTAAGACAGGCAAGGTCCAATTAATTTCAACTTTTTCATTTCTAATAGGATTGACTTTAATCTTTTTTCCTTTTTTATGCCAGATTGACTAAGAATTTGTTCAGTTTGTTTATTCTTCCAAAGAACCAGTCCTTTGAATCATTGACTCTTTGTACCATTTTTAAATTCTCCATTTCATTGATTTTTGCTCTTATCTTTATAATTTCATTGTTTGTAGTAGGTCTGGATTTGTTTTTGTTTTTCTAGGACCTTGAAGTGCATCATTAGGTTATTTATTTGGGAACTTTATTTATTTATTTATTTATTTATTTATTTATTTTTGATGTGAGCATTCATGGATATAAACTTCCCTCAAGGGACTACTTCAGTTAGTTTTGGTATCTTGTGCTGGCATTATCATTTAGTCCTAGGAACTGTGTTATTTGTTCCTTAATTTGTTCTGTGACCCATGGATTACCCAAGAGTGTGTTGTTAAATTTCCATACATTTCCATAGTTTCTGTGGTTTCATTTTCTATTGATTTCTAGTTTCATTGCACTATGACTTAATAATACAGTAACATCTTGATTATTTCACATTTACTTAAGCATGATTTATTAACTAGTATGTGATTTATTTTATAGAAAGTGACAAGGTATAGAGCCAGCTAGGATTTACTAGTTTGGCTGCTCTCTTCTCCTACATAAGGGCGGGGGAGAGGGCCAATGTTGGGGTATGTGGCAGTGCCTTATAGGGAAAAAAATCATTTATAATTTTCACAAACAAGTCTCATTCTCTTTAATATGAAATTCTATGAAAGTCTTAAATAAGTGTTATCATTCATTACATGACTTTTTCTTTGATTTGAGAACTGGTGAAATATGATGAGCTCTTGAATTGAGCCAGGTAGGAGCAGTTGAGTAGTCTTAGCTCAGAAAACGTGAAAACGTATTGGAAAGAGCATTTGGTGTCCCAGTTTCCAGCTCTGGAAAATCATTGAATTACTTTAAATTTTCATTAATTTATTGAAAAGTACTTCTTTTTTCAAACTGTATTTCTTGACAAATAATGGTCTATATTTGTGGGATATGATGTTATATTTTAAAACATGTATTCAGTGTGCATCAAAGGCTAATTAACACATCCATCATCTCAATGATAAAGAATTTATCATTTCTTTATGATGAGAACATTCAAAATCCTCTTTTTAGCTACCTTGAAATATATCATACATTATTAACTAGTCACCATGCTGTGCAATAGAACATCAGAACTTATTCCTCATAAGTAAACCTTTCCGCACATTGACCAATTCTTTACCTTTCCCCATCAATCTCACCAACCTCCTCTACAAATACATCCAAAAACTTGATATCAGTATGCTGAAGAGACACCTATACCCCATGTTCACTCTAGCACTATTCACAACAGCAAAGGTATGGAATCAGCCTAAGGCACCCATCAATGCACAAATGGATTTTAAAATGTAATTTATAACACAAAATGGAATGATACTATTTAGTATATAAAATAAAGAATTCTATCATCAGCAACAACACAGCTAAACCTAGAAGACTTACAAGTCAGATACAGAGAGATAAATAATGATCAAATGATCAAATGATGATAATGATCAAATAATGATCAAATGATCAAATAATGATCAAATTTATGTGCAGAATCTAAAAAAAAAATAAAACTTGTAGAAGTAGAAAGTAGAACAGTGACAGCTATTATATAATGCATGTTATTTCAAGTTTGTATGACTAAATATACTTGAAATGCTAACTATAAGGATCTGGACATGTATGATTTTCTTTCGTGCAGTTAGAAGCAAATCTTAACAAGCCACCTACTTCCTTTCATTCACCTATAAGCATCACACCACCTAATGATTATCCAAGCTAAAACTTAGGAGGTCTCACAGATTGCTGACATCAGTAAAGAGAGAGAGTGGGAGGCACCTAGGACCACCTGACTGTATAAATACTGGAAGCCTGGGCTACAAAGGTCATTTTGCCTGCTTTGCCCTTCTGCTCATTCCTGTTCCTGCCCAGCAATCTTCAGTAAATGTAACTACATGCTGTGAGGTGTATGCTTGGCAATTGTTTCCTTGCCATACACAAGAACCTGGACCGTTTTGGTTCACTCAGTTGTAACAGTCTTGATAGTTCTCTTTCTAGTCCTTGCTATCTTTCTTTCTAATAATAAAGTTATACTACTGATGAGCCACTTATGAATTCAATGTGTGGATTCAGCTTGTGGCTTTTGATGGTTCCAAGAAATGAGGGAGTACCAAGGCATTCCATGCACTGTGTCACCAAGTACAAGTATATGGGTAACACAACTTCAATAATTCTTAAATTCTCCCTGGAGTTGAAGGTGAGCTAACATGTCACAGTTGGGCAAGGAGTGAGTTAACTCTGATTGCAAAAATGGCCAACTATTAAGTGTATCATGGAAAATGGGTAGACATTTCCAGGGTTTCTGTCTTCTGCCTTCTCCCGTTCATTCTGTCCCAGAAATTGGTCAGGGAGTATGTTGCTAAGCTTGGTGTTCAGCAAAGAGAGATGGCAGCGTTGGCTAGAGATGAAGCAATTCTGCTCAGCCCAACAAGGTACAAGTTGCAAAGTTAATCCGTTAGAAGTAACACATGTGAATAAGTATTTCAAGTATTTCAATGGGCATTACAATCTGTAATTAAAAACATGTGTAGATTTATCCTTGCATCATTTAATACTAAGTTTAGCCAAAATCCCCTCTACAAAGTTTTGCTTCAACCTTTGATTTGAGCTAGGTGCTTTTGTGATTAGAGCATATACATCTATTATAAAACTGTTTAAATAATGTTAAAGACTCTTCACAGTTAGGGACTTTACTGATTTTTAATATTCCCAATGTTTAGAATAGTATCTGGCACATAGGAAGGTTTCAGTAAGTTCTGGGTGTGGATAGAATAAAATCAATTTAAAAATAGGCAACATTGAATTGATGGTTTTATTTTCTAAAGACTATTAATTGTCTGCCTATGTGAACAATAAAAGCAATAACATCATATTCTGCCAACAAACTGGGCATTTTTCCCGCTGCCTTGAATTTCCTTGTAAATATTAGTGAACATTTTCCTATTTTGTAGTAAAAAAAAACCCTAAACTCTGACTTCATTTCACCTTATAGAAGGACCTGCAATTCTTTTATAATCTAAACCACCAAAGTGAGACAAGTTAAATAATTCAAAAGTGAAATTCTAGTTTCCATCTTCATTTATCTCCTGGGATTTCCTTTGTTCACCCAGTCCCCTGCAAAAGTCATCAAATGTTCAAATTCATAGTCTGTGACTCGGTGACCCTGAACCTCTCGGTGGCCTGGAATGAACATGGAATGTTCTTATTTAACATTTGGAGCCCAGTCAGAGATTAGTTTTCCTGCAGCGCAATCCTCTGATGCTAGTGAAGGGGGAAATCAGAAACAGGACCAGACAACTCCAGGCCACCCCCCTCCAAAACAGAGTATGGGTGCCTCACAGGAGTGGGACTGGACACTGAGGTCCTCTCTGCTAAACCCCTTTATGCCAGTTATTAAAACTTGTTACTCATTAGAGCTGTGAACCAGAGGAACACTTCATTGAAATGACGAACAATTTAGACTCCAAATATCCTGTTTATGTCCTATCAGGCAGCAAGAGCCCAATTAGCTCAGTGCAGTGTGGCACAAGTCTCCAAGTTAAACCCTCAGAATGTGGGGTGAGGATCTACTTGCTTATGTTCACATATGCTGTAAAACTCACAGGAGATTGAATTGTTTGTACAGAGAGTTATGCCAATCCACTGAAAATCCTTTGGTTGCTTCCTTGTCTATGATTTCTCCATATAGTTGGTTCTACTCCAACTTATTTGAAAGGAACATCTGTTGGATGGTTTGGTGTGATGTCTATGTTTGTTGAAATTTGGCCCTGATGGGTCAATGTAAAAGAACCTGAGAAGGAGAGCTCAGCCATGTGCTCAGTGTCTCTTAAGTACAGGAACAGGTTTGGGAGGATTATCCCAGATAATGATTTCAAGATCATACTAGACCATGACTGTGGAGTTAGCCAGAGTCGCAGCAAATTCTTCATGGCTCAGTCCTCTGGGGTCTCCTGTCACTATGCTTGCCAATAATGCATTTAACTTCCATGTGGCATCTTTCAGTTATCCTTGACACATTCTAAAGCAGTATACATTTCACCGGATGCCATCCAATTCTTTAACTGGAAGAACAGCCCAATTCAAATCTCTCTTTAAATCTGCATCACTTGAATAGCAGCCACAGTTCAGGGCAGTTGACTCATGCACATCTCCTACTAAGGAAGAATGGGGGTAATCAGAGGAAACTGGATCCGCAGAAGTAATTCTCAGACTTTATTCACGTGTGAAATACTTTTTATATCTGAATGCTTTGACCAGACTGGTAATACATAGCAAAGTCAACTGATGAAGTTGTCCCCCTTTCTTCCCCCTACCTACCACTTCTTCAGTGTGGTGATAATGGTATGGATGTCACAAAAAGTAGAGGAAAAGGAAAAAGAAAAAGAAAGAAAGAAAAACAAAAATAAAAATACCCAAGTCCAGTTTTTCCTCTTTTGGAAATTCTATTTCAAAGATAGGATTACTGTTTCCCAGAAAGGTAAAACAAAATTCAGTCAAAAAATGGGGTTGGGGGCCTCAGTAATACTATGGAGTTAGGTAAACATATGAATAAGCGCTTAAATAACAAGTAGTTGACTGTGAACATCTTTAAAATGGCTTCACACTCTTGGCATGATTCTCCATCAGTATCCAGCAGACCCTGCTTTGAAGCATCTCTCAATGTGCTTTTATAGTTTTATTCTCTGGGATTATGGAACAATGCAAAAATATCCAGGTACCTTACAAGGAATAGAGGGAGCTAGAGGTAGTGTTTCACTATAGAAGTGCTACTACAGCCCTCTTTACTTCTATGAAGACCCTAAGCAGAACCATTTCCAACTACCCAACTGGTATCATGTGAATGATCAGATTCTGGTGCACAGAGCACTTTCTAAATATGAAGAAATCAGTGGTGGAATAAAGACTACCACCACAAAGATTGCTGCTTGTTCTACACCTACTAGGTGTTTTACTATTAGGAACATTACAGATACACTTTCATTCAATTCTTACCTAGAAACTTTTTTTTCACCAGAAAACTTTGAAATCTTGTTCACAATATATAGACAAGGACAGTGAAGTCAGAGATTAAATAACTAGTCCAAGGCAAACCATCATCAAGCAGGGGAACCTGGTGCTAAAATCAGGTCTGCACGTGAGCTTCTTGACACCAGAACATTTCTTTTGCTGTGTTCACTGATGTATTATGTGCTTAGAAGAAGGCCTTGGAGGGGCAGGTTTTCAGATGATGTTAAATGATGACTTCAGTTGGAGATCCAGCACATGCACCCTTAACCACTATTCTCTACGGGCCTTCCTTGGTGTCCTCATTTCTGTTTGTTACCTGTTTCTCTGTTCTACCCTCTTTCAGAGGTAGTTGGCTCCAAAGCTCTAGCAGGCAGCTGTAGAACATCTCAGGGCATCTGACCTACTGAAGGAAGCAGTGGTGATCAGGAAGTTCTTTCGTGAGTATGATGACCTCTCTTCCCCTCATTTTCTTTCTTCTTTTATCTCCTTTTTCCTACAAAGACTTTTTAAAAATCTCCACGATGTGTGCTGATCACTGGAGATTTCCTGTGAACAAAGCTTACAGAGACTCTGTCCTTAAGCAAATTATTGATTAAAATAGAGGCATGATGAGCATCTAGACATAGAGGTTCAGGGTGTAACACAATAATGCAACAACAGCAACAAAACACTAATTTATTCTTCGAGGTTATAGGAGATTTCATTGCAAATCTGAGCTTTAAGAAAAAGCAAAGAATGAGTTTTCAATTAGCTCAGGATCCTTGGAAGTCCCTGCTTGAGAATTTTTAAAGTACTCAGGAATCAAAACTATTTTAATAATAATGCTCAGAAGTTGCTTGCTTTTTCCATCTTGATTCATTTAGAAGTGTGCAGTGGAGGGTTATGGAGGGTGCATGACAGGTGATGTCACTACAGAGTGAGCAGCAGAAGCAGAGAGGAAAATCTGTCTTCTAGAAAGCCAAACATTGGAAAGATCTGCAGAGTGTAAATCAGTGCCACTTGTCTTGCTAGTGTGGTTTGAGTTTAGGAAAATGTGCTTATTTTTAATAAAATATGGTAAGGTATAATAAATTTAGTTATTTTTTAAATTAATTAAATATTTTTAAAACTCCCAGTTTTAACTTATAATGTATAAACAATCAATAGATACTCCAAACATTTTTTTATTAGTGCAAAAGGGCTTGAGTCCTAAAAATTTGAGAATTGCTGAGATAAGCAAAGAGGAGGAGGGAGTGTTCTGGATTGAGCACTTACACATAGAGAGAGAGAGAGAGAGACAGAGAGACAGAGAGAGACAGAGACAGAGACAAAGAGGGAGAGACAAAGACAGAGACACAAAGACATAGAGACAGAGAGATAGATACAGACAGAGAGACAGAAAGAGAGAGATAGAAAGAAAGAGAGAGTGAGAAAGAGAGAGAGAATGAGTTGCTGAGGAAACTTAATAAGCCATGTGGTATGTAAGTAGAGTTGGATAGAAGAAGATAGATTTAAGTGATATGGCATGACAGTCTAGAGGACTTGGTATTTGGGTATCAGTAGGTAGGAGATTTGCTGTCAAAGGAGATGACTTCTTTCATGACTTTCTAGTCATGCTACTTGTTTGCAAATCCTAGTGCCATTCTACTAGTTCTGGGACTATTGGTAAGTTATTGAAACCTGTAAACTAAGAATTTTGTTATCACTAAAAACTTAGAAATAAGAACAACAATCTCATAATATTTGGAAAATTATTTTTAAAATGTAAAGGTTCCTAACAAATAGCAAGAATATCAAAATTATTTGTAACTTTTTATTTCCTTTGCCAGCTCCTGAAATTCATGTTCTTCCTAACCATTTTTAGATGAAGAAGAGAAGCTCGCAGTGTGTGTCAAAAAACCTGATATTTTTGGGAGGAAAGTTTATATTAGTCAGCTTTACATTACTTTAGTGAAATACCTGAGGCAATTAATTTATCAGAGGAAAAATTTATTCTCTCATGGTTGTAGAGGTTCTCATCTAAGGTCAGCTGGCTCCATGCCATTGGACCTCTAGTAGGGGTATCACACAGCAATGGCAAGGAGTGTGTGCTGGAGTCGATGGCTCACATTGTAAGCTAAGGAGCAGAGAAAAGAAGCAACTTCGCTGAAGATAACAGTATGTAATATAACAACCATCATTCATTCTTATCCTCTTGTTTTGAAATCCTGTATCATTTCTATTGTTTATGTGTTGTTTTGTTTTTGTCTTTGTTGTTGTTATTTTGTTATTTTTTTTTCCTCTTAGAAAAGAAACACGTACATGCTCCTGTTTCAGTCACTTTCTTGGGGCTGGGACAAAATACCCAAGATGAAAGAGGGGAGATTTATTTTGGCTTCTGTTTTTAGAGGACGCAGTCCCTGGTTGGCTGCCTGCATGGCAGAAAGGGCGTGATAGCAGGACATGGTGGAGGAAGGCTGCTCACATCATGGTGACCAGCAAGCAGAGAGAGAAAGGAGGAGCTGGGGAGGGAGATAAACCCTTCCAGGTCCTGCCCCTAGTGCCCCACCCTTCCATACAGACTCCAGCTCCTAACAGCACATTCAACTCTGAACTTTTCACTGGATTTACCCACTAGTATGTATAGCAGCCCACGATCTAATTATCTTCTAAAAGCCAACCTCTGAACATGGGAGGACATTTTAGAGGCTTTTAAAGGACACTCTAGATCTAAACCACATCATCCCAATGACCTAAGGATATCTAAAGGCTCCATTATCTCCCAATAACACCCTGGGGTCCAAGTTTTTAATACATGGGCCTTTGGGGGACACCTACATTCAAACCACAGCACTGGCTCTGCCTAACTTCCAGAAGCTCCAGTTGTGATTCTCACATGCTACCAAGGGACTGGGGTGAGCATTTTTCAAATGTGTGCAAGCATTCTCTCTCCCTCTCTCTCTCCCTCTCTCTCTCCCCCTCCCCCTTCCCATCTTGAAGGCTGCTCTGTTATTTATTTTCAGTTCTTATCATTTTATCTTGCTCTCCCTTGAATTTGAAACTTTGCCCTCTTCCTTGTATTCCACAGTCTGAATCCTGCTACTAGTCACCAGGGTCTAGTCACCTTTTGCTGTGCTCCCGAAGCTCAGGCTACTGTCATGTGTTTCCTACATCTTGTCCTGGTCTTTAACTTTGAAGAATGCTCTTCCCCAACAACTACCACCTACTGACATAGTAATATGGGAAGACTTTAAATGACTGTGATTGAAATCCTGTCAACCTTATAGAAAATCATATGTGTGGCATCTGGGCATTATTTCCTGTGTCTTTTGAGAGTCTATTACAAATGCCTTGATGTGCGAATTTAGATTCATATTCCACTAGGGGCTGAAAGGAAGAGGAGTTGAAGAGCTCAATGGTCATAGCACCATGAGAATGTATTGCATTGCATCAAGTGGCCCTTAGAACAGAAGAGTGGAAGTCAGGAGCTGAGCAGAGGAGGCCATGGGTATGGCAGTCTGCTCTGTGACAATGAGCTTTGTCTACATGTGGTTCTGAGGTCTTGGGCAGTCTACATTTGAACAGAGCCCATTGTTTACCACTTGAGGGGAAAAACAGAGCGAGCAAGCAGTGAATCAGGCAGCCACTTGTTCCAAAAGGAATTTTTCTCAGAGTTTCAGAGAAATCTAAACAAAGACAGAAGTTTGGAGGAAGACTAGTTGATAGGACAAACTAGTGCTTCTCGGTGCTAACGATACATTTGCCTTTTTTCAGACTATCATCTTTGGCCTCTGAGTTCTGACCTGGTACTCTAACCCAACAGGAAAGCTAATTTTGGGAAGAGCTTCTACTCTAGGCAGAAATTCTAAGATCTAGTCTAAAATACTTTGAAGTAATAGGTCCTCTTCCTTTCCTCATTTAAAAAATATTTGCAAAAAATGTCTTCTTCATAGAGGTTCAAGAACTGAGAGAGGGAATAGAGGTATTTATCATTTGTGAAGTCTAGCAACAGATCAGCAAATG